GGCTCTGGCAGGGCTGGGGATGCCTGTTTTGGAGGCCTCGATGGAAGAGGGGGTGATCCAGGGGCTGAATCCCCCCGGGAAGGGTTTGCTTTGTTGGGGGGCGGTGGGACGGATCCGTGCCATCACCGTGGATTCTCGCCATGGCTGCGGATGTAACCCTGGGGCTCCCATCACCACCGTGTCCCAGATGCTTTCCCACCCACCGCAGCGGCATCCCCGGGGCGCCGCGGGTGGATCTCCAGGGCAATGAGGATTGGGAGCATTAATTGTGCCGAGGTGGGAGCCGGGCGGGCGCTGAAAGCCGACCGGGGCCCCGGAGGTCGGAGGGGAGAGGAGGTCACGGCACTTTCCGGGAGGTAATTTGGGATATGAGCCGGGCGCGTGCGGATGGAGCCGATAAGGCTGATGGATGCGGGGGAGCCCGGAGTGGGCTTGGGGGGGGCTGCTCTTTGAAGCCTGGTGGCAAAGGGGTCCTAAAGTAAAGAAGCAGGAGGGGAGGGAGGCTTGGCCATCACAGGGGGTATCCCCAGCATGGACCCCCCTTGGGGCGCCCATTGGGGCACAGGGATGCGTTGAGGTGCGAGCGCTGGGTTTGGCAGAGCCCGGTGGCACGCGGCTGGGGCCGGGTCAGTGCTGGGCTCCGTGGGGAGCTCCCGGTTGGTGCCGTTGGAAAAGGGATGGGGAAAGAGCCCCAAAGCCTCCCCAGAGCTGCTCTGGAAATCCTTTTGTCAGGAAGCATTCACAAAGCCACAGCCCTGCCCCGGGAGCCCCGGCGTGGCCGAGGCCCCCCCAGCCTCGTGCTCCACATTCCCAAAGGCAATTCCCAGCCTGAATCCCCTTGGATCCTTCGAGGAGCCCTCGAGCTTGCGGAGCGAGCGCGGCTGAGCTCCGGCCCCTGCTGAGAGGGGCTGGGAGGGGATAAATACAGACCTGAGTGCATAGAAAAGAATCATTCCAATAGATATAGATGCAAAATGTGTTTAAGTAGAGATAAAATCGAGAGAGAATATACTTAAGCCAATAGAAAATACATGGAAATTGATATAAAATATATTTAAATATATGTAAAATAAATGCAAATGAATATAAAATAAATATAAATGGCTATAAAATATATGTAAATGGATATAAAATACATTTAAATGGATATAAAATATATTTAAATGGATATAAATGATACTAAATACTTAAATAGATATAAAATGTATTCAAATACACAGAGTCTATACAAAAGTATTTAAATTTATATAAAATTGATATTAAATGTATTTAAATGGATCTAAAATAGATAAAAACTGTATTTAAATGGTAAAAAAATGTATTTAAGTAGCTATATAATGTATTGAAGTACTTATAAAATGTATTTAAATAGCTAAAAATCGAGCATATATTTAAATAGATACAGAATATATTTAAATAGCTATGAAGTAAATACACCATGTATTTAAATGGATATTATGCACATATGCCCCATCCCTGGCAGTGTCCAAGGCCAGGCTGGGCACAGGGGCTTGGAGCATCCTGCCCTAGTGGAAGGTGGTTGGACCTGGATGAGCTTCCCACCCCACGCCGCTCCATGCCGATGCTCCAGACACGATGTTCCGTCTCTCTGATGTTTTCTGCCCCCCCTCTTTGTGTCTCCGGCTGCAGACCCCGCAGTGATTTCCCCCCAAGACCCCACGCTGCTGATCGGCTCCTCGCTGGTCGCCACGTGCACGGTCAGCCCGGACTTTCACCTGAAAGCCGAGGACCTGTACTGGACGCTGAACGGCCGGCGCCTGCCCGCCGCCTCCTACGCCGCGCTCGGCCCCACCACGCTCAGCGTGGCCCTCGCCCGCCTCAACGGCTCCAAGCAGCAGTCGGGGGACAACCTGGTTTGTCACAGCAGAGACGGCGGCATCTTGGCCGGCTCCTGCCTTTACGTTGGACGTACGTCGTCGGCGCGGGCCGCGCTGATGCGCTGGGGAAGAGCCACGGCTCCCGGTTGGGAAGGATCCGCGCCGGGATTAACCCCTCGGGCTTCGCCAAAACGCGCTTGCCATGGCTGCTTGCGGTTGCTCCGCGTTAACCTCCCCGTGGCTTGCGCCCGGTGCCCCAGCCCCGCGTGCCGCAGGGAGGCTGTTTTGGCAAAGCTGCGGCAAAATTACTCTTGTCCGAATCAATAATCGTAAGATTGTTATCTCGGGCTATTTTAAGGACGATGCCACGTCCTAGGAACACAGAGGCATAACTGGGAACACGGCTCGGATTGGGGCTTTGGGCTGCTGCAGGAAAACAGCTCCACAGCAGGAGCCTGAACCCCTCCAGTAACCACGTCTGCAGCCCCCAGGCTGTGGTCGGAGGGGCCCACAAGCTGCATTTCACTGCTGCACCTTTTCATCTCCCTCTGTTTCTTACTGGTTTCTTTTTCTCTCTCCCAGTACCCCCAGAAAAACCAGTCAACATCACTTGCTGGTCCAAAAACATGAAGGACCTCACCTGCAAGTGGGCGCCGGGCACAGAAGGGGAGACCTTCTTGCACACCAACTACACCCTCAAGTACAAGCTCAGGTGGGCTGCCCGCCCTATCCCTGTTATTCGTTATAGTGGGATGGAAAAGCTGGTAGGGAATGGGGAGCCCGATGCCTTCGGGTGCTGGTGCCTGTGGTGATGTTTATGGTGGACTTGGCAGCCCTGGGCAAAAGGTTGGAATTGGTCCTAAAGGTCTTTCATCAATGTGGTTGATGCTGTGAGTCCGAGTTTCCCTGGGTCTTGCCTGCCCTGAGCAGTGTGCTGGGAAGGAGGAGGGTGAGGACACACGCCCATGGTGTTGAATGGCCACGGTCCCAACTGGGAGCATCCGTGCCCTCTGGGGATGGGCGAGCATCCCCAGCTGGACCACGGCACCCGGTACCAGCACTCAGCGCCTCCCCACAGGTGGTACGGCCGAGACAACACGTGCCAGGAGTACCACACGGCCGGGCCCTACTCCTGCCACATCCCCAAGGACCTGGCCCTCTTCACGCCCTACGAGATCTGGGTGGAGGCATCCAACCGGCTGGGGGTGGCCGTCTCCGACGTCGTCATGTTGGACATCCTCGACGTGGGTGAGCGACGGCGACGTCGTGGTGCCACCACGGCACCGGTGACCTCACGGTGGGAACCGGCGGCGGGTTCACGCGCTGGGATTTGTGTGTGTGGGGGGGCAGCAGGAAATGGGTGATGTGTGAGCAGAATTGCTCCTAATCGAGTTAAGCTGCTTCCTCCGCATCTGCGGCTCCTTAACCCTGTCCCCGCAGTCACCACCGACCCGCCGCCGGACGTGCACGTCAGCCGGGTGGGCGACCTGGAGGACCAGCTCAGCGTGCGCTGGAGCTCCCCGCCAGCACTCAAGGATTTCCTCTTCCAAGCCAAGTACCAGATCCAGTACCGGGTGGAGGACAGCTCGGAGTGGAAGGTGGGCTCGGCATCGCCCGGCGGCGGTGGGGCGCGGTGCAGGATGCGGGACCACGCTGCCATCTCCTCCCTCTCTAGGTGGTGGATGATGTGGGCAACCAGACCTCGTGCCGCTTGGCCGGCCTCCGCCCCGGCACCGTCTACTTCGTCCAGGTTCGCTGTAATCCCTTCGGCATCTACGGCTCCAAGAAAGCCGGCATCTGGAGCGACTGGAGCAACCCCACGGCCGCCTCCACCCCGCGCAGCGGTGAGTGCCGCTGCCATCTTTGGGGGGCAGGAGATGCTGGCAGCACCGTGCTCCCCATCCTCGGCACACATGGAACACGCAGGGGGGGTCCCTTCCCTGCTCCACGCCCAGCACCTGGATTTCTTGCAAAAGAGCCGATTTGGAGCTCGGTTTCCTCACTTGAGAGCCAAATCCCCGCTGGTTTTCCTCTCCCCTGGCACCTCTCGCAGCGCGGTGGCAATGGGGGGGGGTTGCCCGGTGCCACCGATCCCCTTGTCCCCGCAGAGCGAGCGGCGGGGGGCTGCGACCCCAAAGGAGGGGAGCAGAACACGACGCTGCGGCGGGAGCTGAAGCAGTTCTTCGGGTGGGTGAAGAAGCACGCCTACGGCTGCTCCAACCTCGGCATCAAGCTCTACGACCAGTGGCGCGTGTGGCTGCAGAAATCGCACAAAGCACGCAACCAGGTAGGTAAGGAGCCTTTCGCACTTCTCTCCCCGGCCTGGGGGGCACTGGGTGGTGGTGGGGGGGGTACCGGGGAGGGTGGGCACGGACCCGGCGGCTACGCGGGTTCTGCTCCTCTCCGCAGGTGCTTCCCGGCGGTAAGCTGTAGCCCGCGGGGGCCCGAGCGCCGGCAGGACCACACGGGGCGCCCGGCGCCCGCCCGGGGCCACCCGCGGCCCCCCCGGCCCCGCCGGCGCGGAGCAGGAAGGCGGCCGGGGCGAAGCGCGGCCATGGGATGGGGTCAACGGGGGGGGCCGGGTTGGGCCAGCCCCGGCAGCCCCTCCTCACGTGCTGCGGGTCCGGTGCCCCCCCCCGCACCCCGCGGCGAGGGGACCCCTCAGCCCTGCCCGGCTGGGGGGGGCACGGAGGCTTTGCTCCTTACCCGCCAGCCAGAGCAGCCTCTGGGATGAAAGGGGCAAGGGGGGGCTTCCTGGGTGTCCCCCACCCTCGGTGCAGCTCCCCCCACCCCAGCCCTGGGAAGCGATTTGGGCTCTTTTCTCCCCAGGGACCCATGTGCGAGCGCATGGGGGGGGTCCGTCCCTGGGGAGCCACGTGGGCTGGGTTGAGGCTGCTGGGGTTTGCCCAGTGCCTGCTCCAATTTTGATTCAAACCAGCCTTATTTTGGTTCCATTTCAGTCAATTAGGAACAGATTTAAGCTTAATGCCAATAAACCTCTGAAACCCCACCAGGGTCTGCGTCAGCGGCAGCAGCGCGGGGATGGGGATGCAGCGGCAGCCAAAGGGGACCTGTGTCCGTTGTCACCCCATCCCCAGGGACCAAGGCGAGCCGGAGGGGGTGGCACTGAGGGACACAGAGAAGCCCGTTAGACCACACAACTCAGGCCAGCCCCACGGGGCAGGTTTATTTTGGATGACCATAGAAAGAGCGCTACTGGGGCACTGGAGCTGTGCTAGGGTTGGGGGTGCAGCAAGAGAGATGCTTTTGGGGGGCTGCTGCCCCTGGGGCTCCTGCTGGCAGTGAAGGCAGTGCTCATCTCCACGGGGATCAAAGCAAGGCAGCCCCTTGGCACTGCACGTTGTGGTTTTCCTTGGGCAAAAACCCGTGGTGCAGCTGGGAAGTGGAACCAGGCCCACGCTGCAGCCCTCTGCTGAGGGATGCTCAGGACTTAGGGGGACCCCGCTCCTCCTGGACAGATGGGGGTGTTCTTCACCCCTTCCAGCCTGTGCTCAAGAAAAGGCGCCGAGGGGAAGGTGCCCACCTTGCTGGGTGCTGTGGGTGCCCGGGTGGCTGCGCCGGGGGCCGGGAATGGCGCGCGGGGCCCCCGTTCCACCGCCCGGCCCCTCCAGCCGTTCCCACGGGGACATCCATCACTCGGCTTCTTCCGAATCGTACTTGAGGTCCTGGAGAATTTCGCTGATTGCCTCAATGGTTTTAATTAGCCTACGAGAGCGGATGGAAACTATAAATAAAGCCCATATGGAGCGTATTATGTGGGCCGCCTCGCCTTCCCCGCGCTGTTTATGAAACACTCAGCCCGGGGAGGCCGAGGGGACCGCGCAGCATCGCCAAACCCTCCCCGGGGCTGCGGCCCCGAGCGCGGCTGAAGGCACCATCTGGGCCCCCCTGGGCCAGAGGGAGGGGAAATGTGGGGAGGGGGCTCCTATCCCCATGGGGAACGCTGCCATCCCGAAACGGGGGGAGAGAAGGAAACCGGCAGCGGGGCCACCACCTACTTGTGCTTGAGCTCCTGCACCTCCTGCTGGTGGGCATCCACGTGGGGCTGGTCCTGTGCCTGCTGCTGGGCCAGCTGGAGCTGTGCTGTCTGCATGGGGACACAGCGGGAGGTGGGACCCCCGCAAAGCAGCCCCGGGTATCGATGCTCACCCCGCACCGGCCCCACACTCACCAGCTGCAGCTTCTCCTGCTCCCGCTCCTGCAGCCGGGCCAGGTGCTGGGCCAGGTCGGGGCGGGCGAGCTCATCCCGCAGGTGCCCGGCGATGCTCAGCACCTCGCGGGAGATGCTGCTGAAGGCCACCGTGATCTCGTGCACCAGCTGCCGGTAGCGAGGGAAGTCATAGTGCGGCGCGCTGCTCAGGTACGCGCGGTGGCCCCTGCGCGTGGGGGGAGCCACCGTCACCACAGCACAGCAGGATGGCGACACCCCACGGTCCACATCCTGGAGCTGAGCTCCCTTTGCCACAGGCAGCACCAGTGGGGTTTTCATGTCATAGAATCGTGGAATGGTTTGGGTTGGAAGGGACCTTAAAGCTCATCCAGCTCCAACCCCTGCCATGGCAGGGACACCTTCCACTAGAGCAGCTTGCTCCAAGCCCCTGTGTCCAACCTGGCCTTGAGCACTGCGAGGGATGGGGCAGCCACAGCTTCTCTGGGCACCCTGTGCCAGCGCCTCAGCACCCTCACAGGGAAGAGCTTCTGCCTAAGAGCTCATCTCAGTCTCCCCTCTGGCAGGTTCAAGCCATTCCCCTTGGCCTGTCCCTACATCCCTTGTCCCAAGCCCTTCTCCAGGTTTCCTGCAGCCCCTTCAGGCACTGGAGCTGCCCTAAGGTCTCTCCTGCCCAGCTTTGGCAGCTCTTGGTCCCTCTGACCAGGCAGCTCCACCCCTCACCCAGGACAGATCCGGCCACCCCTTTCTGTGTGTGTGACAGGAGTCTCTCCCCTTCCCACCCCAGCCCAGCCCAGCCCGTGTCCCGTCGGTCCCCCGTGTCCCGATGCTGCAGTGGGATGCAGGCACCCCCCGCAACCGGAGCTCAGCAGCTCCGCCCCGGCGGCCTCTGAACGAAGCCGGAAGGGAGAGGGGGGGGCTCCCTCCGCGGTACTCACTGCTCCAGCAGCCGGTACGCCTCGGCCCGCTCGCCCTGCAGTGCCCGCAGCCGCCGCAGCAGCGCCTGCACGGGCTCGCCCGTCTGCGGAGAGATGGGGACGGTGGCGGCGGGGGACGACGGAGCCACCGGTACGTGCCCGCGGCCTCACCGGGCGGCTCCGGCAACGCGGCTCCGCGCAGGGCCGGTGCTGACCGAGCCTGGCCCGTCCCGTCCCGTTCCGTTCCCCTCCCAGCGCCGGCCTTAGGGGAGCCCGGCGGCAGCGCTTGAGCTCAGTCCGGTACCGGCACCGGGAGCTCCTCCCGGCCACGTGTGCAGGGACCGAAGCGGCGCCGGGACCCCGCTTCACCGCCCCTGCCCATGCACCGGACATCCCGCACCCCCCCCGTGCCCGCCTGCAGGGCCCGGCCCCGGATCCCCCCCATCCACCCGGACGCGCCCTGCGGCCCCCGGTCCCCGCTCACCATGGCCCGGCCCCGGTCGCACGGCGCAGGCCCGGCGGAGGGCGGAGCGCGGCTCCACCGCCCCCTGCAGGC